AGGGGATTCCAATGCACACAAAACTTTGAGAACCACTACTCTAGGATATGGATTTTACTAAATTGGCAATGAATGACACGGAAAAGTTAAAGGTGATGTTTCATTGAGGCACCAAGGTACAAGAGGTGGAAAATTCCAAAGTAACTTTCCAAATTAATACATGCAAATTTTCAAAGGAAATCCTTTAAACTAGTTCTACATCTCTTGTGACTTTCAGCTAGACAGTATATACATATGTATGTGTTTGTGTGTAATCCTGAGAGTACAGAAACTTAATATATGATTTTTGTGATCAAAGCTTATAGTCTGACTTGCATCAATGGCATCTAGATAGTGCTGGAAGGGCTGTTCTGTGGTTATCTTGCAATAAACCTGCACTCCAAAAATTGGTCAGTACAAAGGATACATAGGTCTTTCTCTTTGGCCAGAGATAGGTCATGTGGGAGAATAATATCCAGCCTGGAGTCATCTTGGCTCCAGTCTAGTAGTACCGCCAAGAGATTTCAGGAATAAGAGTTTCAAGTCCTAGCAAAAAAAACCTAAGGAGTAACCGTGGATATCTAGGGTTGCTGAAGTTAAGGCAAGGCACTACCCATAATATGATGCCAGAGTATGAGATCTATAGACAGAGGAGCCTGATAAAGAAACTCCAAAGCGTCTCTGACAGCATCCAAGGAGAAAGAATCAGCTCTACACAATCGCCAAGCCCAGAGAGCAGAAAATTCACTTATGAAACTACCTTTTAAACAAAAGATTACACTTTTCTTTTCCACTCCACCCTCACTCTGCTTCAACTGTGTAGGAGTCAGAAACTATCTAGCAAGATGGGGTGAGGGCAGTGAAAGTACAAGGTAATGAAGTGCAAAAGAAGTCAACCATGCCCCTCTTTTCCACTGCAGACTTCCAGGAGATGCAGGCTTCTGCAGGCTGGGAAGGTGAGAGCATTATAATGCAAAATCAAATTGAAAGTTTGCATTCATATCTTGAACTGGGCATTCTAATTTCTGAATTAGGGCCATTTCGTTACTTAAAGTGGCTCCAGGATATTTTAAACAAAAGAAGTGAGCAAAAATATCATGGACTTGAAGTTTTCATCCAGGGGTAGAGAAATATTATCAGAACAGAACACATTTTAGAAGGATGGTGAGAGACAAAAATAAAGTTGTGTTTTGATTATGTCAGGAGTCGTGCTTGCTCAACATACTGGTTACACACAGATTGAGCCTTAAACAATTTGGTTCAAGTCCAAAAATTCTAAAAACCCAGAGCTGAGGCAGCTCTGTGCACGTGAAGCCTATTCTACAGCAAGTCCACAATGGACACGTGCTCAGATGCCCAAAGAAACGTTGACTGTGAATTTTATGTTTAAAATAGTTTATAAAGATATGGAGCAATTTTGTAGGAGCAAAGTGGTGTAATAAATATAGATTTTCTGCTTTTATTTCTGGTGCTTTCTTGATGTATTAGGTCTGCCATTCCCTAGCATGTGATATAGAGTATGCCACTAATTTTTTAGACCTCGGTTTCCTCATCTGTGTCATAGACAACTGGGCTGGATAATTTTAAATGGTGAGAGTTGTGATTTCATGACATTATTATAAGAAACAAATTAATGTATGAAATGTACATTTAGTTCAGGCTCTTGCACTTAGCTTGAAGTGTGATCTTTAGCAAGTTTCTTAATTTCTCTATGTTACAATTGCTTTACCCCTATGATACTTGCCTTGCATTCCTACAAGGTGGCTGTGCAGCTCAAAAAGATAATGACTGTTTTCATAGTTGGAATAATGACCTTCAGAGATGTCCTAGTCCTTGGAAACTGTGAATACATTACCTTACATGGGAAAAGGGACTTTGCATATGTGATTAAGTTAAGGACTTAGAAAGGTGCAGATTATCCAGGTCTACCTAATCTAATCACAGAGGTCCTTAAAATTAAATAACCATTCCCAGTTGTGGTCAGAGGGAACAGTAACCATAGAATGGTCAAAGAGATGCGAAGTTTCTGGCTTTAAAGACAGAGAGGGGGAGCCACAAGCCAAGGAATGTGGGTGTGCTCTAGAACTGAAAATGGCAAGGAGACTAATCTTTCCCCAAGACCCCAACAGGAACCTCAGTCCTGCCAATGCCCTGATTTTAGTTTAGTGAGACCCATTCAGACTTTTGACTTCCAGATAATAAAGTTGTATTGATTAAGGCACTAAATTCGTGGTAATTTGTTATTGTAGCCACAGAAAACTAATACAAGTGTGAACATTTTAAAAAAGTTAAAAACCTTGTGCAAATGTAGGCTCTAGTGGTCATAAAGACAAATATTCTAAAAGGATGTAAAATGAATATTGATTTTTAAAAAATATACCAAAATGCTACCAAGAATAGGGAAGAAATTCTAAAGGTTATCCAGAGAACCTGCTCCTTCCTCCACAGCTCTTCTTCTTATCCAGATGGTATATTCTTTTCTTAAATATCTCATGCACAGAAATTCAGCAAATACTCTTAGTCACCAGTTCCAGAATCTCACAATTTTTATTATTGCAAACTTCATTTCATTTTAATTAAGACAGATTTTTAAAAAGCACATAATTATTTTATTCTTAGTTGTGCTACCATAAAGACAAATAAAGTCTTCTCTACACATTAATATGGGAAACTATCCCCACATTAAATAAGTTTTGAGCTAATGTCAAAGTATATCTTTTTATTCTTGTTTTTAGGTAATACACATGATTTGTTTTGATATTGGGATTATTCAAACTATTCAGTAGGTGGTATTTACCAAGGTAGTGTCTCTCCTTTTAAAACTCACCCTTTTATACTGTGTGATGCTGGATCTGGGACTGTGCAGATTAGATTTCTCTTTTGCCTGCTGGCTTCCTCTTAGTTTCAACCAATAGGCGGAGCTAGATGGAGTCTGTAAGATGAGAATGACAGATGAACTTGCTACATACTATCTGTGTCACCACAGAAACTGTTCATCCTGACTGCAGTAGCTGGTTTTGGTATCAGTGGTTAGTTCCAGTTCGCTGCTTTTTTCCCACCTATAGAAATAACCCCCTACTTCCCCCTCAGAAATATCAGCACACCTTCCCTGGAGGTTTGACTTCCATCTTGATGGGAGTGCTTCTCTGGGATTCTGAGACACAAGTTCCAGTCTACCAGTTATCCCTGCTTAGAAGGCTGAGTCTCAGCTCTGTGGGCCCCTTCTCTCCCATCTTCTTCCTTTTGTTAGCCCAGGTCCTAGAGGTGGTAGGTGCTGACTGAAGCTACTACCTCAGTGATCTCTTTTTTGCCTCTTTAGTTATCTAATATCTGGTTAAACATGTTATATTAAATTTGCTCTGTTAAAATTTGGTGATTTGTTCTGTATCCTGACTGGAACCTGAGTGATACAGAAATAGGTAATAAGTGTGCTGCCAGGAAACAAACTCTTGAAGATGGGGATGTGGGATTGGTTTGTTTATGCCCTTGAGCTTGAATGCAGTGCTGTATTCTTTGAGATAGGAATGAATACTAGTAATCCATAGCATTTAGTAACATGATAATTATTAAGTGATCAACTAGGGTTGTTTGTGATAAAGAGAACTCTGACATAAGGCCTTTGGGAGATTAAATACTTGTTGCTTTTGACCGTGATGGCAGTGATAATGATAACAAGGATTTTGGTGTGGGATAACTGCTTCTGAGTGTTGTGGAGTGCTTAAAGAAAGAAATGACAAGATGAGGTCACAGTTGAGGAACCAAAGGACTTCTATAGCAGTCCCTCAAAGAATATCTTATTCTGATAGCCACAGGGTTAAGCTCAATAAATGTAGACACAAACAGTAATTGTGCAAGTTGCACAATTTTAGGGGTTTACTGTACAAGAGGATGCCTATTTTCCACAAGTCCCTCTATAAACCCACCTATTATTGACACTAGAGTTATTCGTTAGAATCCTAGAGTCGTATCTTGGAAACCTCTAGAACAAGTCCAAAATCTGACCCAGCAGAAAATAGCTAATACTGTAAAATTTTTTCAAGATTTTGCTAATTTATACCAGCAGAATCCAGGGAATATATATGAGAGAATGGATTCTAACAGCCTCGATGGTAGCCCCTTAAAGATAAAGCAGGATATAATATATCTCTTGATTAGCCTAAATATGTTGATGTGGTAGCATTTATCAGGAATTCTGGATTTAACCTTCACCAATCTAGAAGAGTTTATAACAGTTTTGATGGTTATCTTGAGAAACTTGAACTTAATGGTTTCCCTCATTTAATGTGATTGAGATGCCAGAATTTCCATAGAATAACGTAAAGGCAAGAATCCAAAGGTTCAGGGAGATAGAAATGTGGAATGGAATTAGCATTCAAGGCTTGCATTTTATCACTCTCCCATTACAGCCCCCGAGTGCCCAGAAGACAATAGCTTCACTAAGGCATTGAGAAATACATTAATTATGAGAGCATTGATATCCCGGGTAAGCTCTGTGATAGCTTCCCGATCTAGGTTGAGTATGAGAATAGGACATAAATCTAGTGGTCTACGAGTTTATTAGGGGCCAGTGGAGTTTGGGCCCAAGTTTGAATTAAAGTAGGCCCAGTACTTTTATCAATACACTCTATGTATATTTCTCTACTTCTTGAATGAATAATTCTAATAGACAGGCGTAGCAAATGTCAGAATCCACATAATGTCTCTCTGACCCATTGATTGAGGGCTACTGTGAAAGGAAAAGCTAAGTGGAAGCCTCTGGAATTTCCCTTCCCTTACCAGAATAATAAAGGAAAAACCATACCACATCCCTATGAAAATTGCAGAAAAGGTTAGTGTCACCATAAAAAACTTGAAATATTCATGAGTGTTGATATCTATCATACTCCATTTAGTTTTCCTATTTAGCCTATGATAAAGGGAGAAGGATCTCCAAGAAAAACTGTGATTATCATAAACTTAATTAGATGGCAACTCCAAATGGAGCTGCTATTCCAGATGTGGAAAGGTAACTTTAGGAGCAAATCAACACAGCTCCTGGCACCTAGAATGCAGCTATTAACCTAGCAAATGTTTTTTTTCCTCTATACCAACTGGCAACCTCCATCCATCAGAAGTAGTTTGATTTTACCCTACAATTCATCTCCACAAACTTTACTCATAGCAACATTAAATTTGTTACTATAATAGTCTTCAGAACTCTTGAATGTCTTACCAATGTCCACTACACTGATGGCATTGTGCCCAGCAGACCAGAGGAACAGAAAATAGCAATTTCTTCAGTTACTTTAGTAAGATACATGTAAGCCAGATGGTGAGGGATGAACTTTGTGAAAGTTCAGTGACACATTGTCTTTGTGAAATTTCTTAAGGTCCAATGGTCTGAAGCGTGTTGAGATATCCCCTCCAAGGTGAGAGACAGTTGCTTCATTGTGCATTGATACTATTAAATAGGAGGTACAGTGCTTAGTGGGACTTTTTGTGTCTTGCCGGCAATTTATACATATTTTAGTGTGTCACTCCGAGCCTTTCACTGAGAAACCCATAAGGCTAGAGAGACATCAGCTCTCCAGAAGCTTCTCCTTAGTGGTTTGAGTTTCAGCTCCACAGGGGATGACCTCCAAGCTTCTTAGCTATGAACACTTGTCTAGAAGTAACCACTCATCAGTGATCTTGGTCCCAGCTCTGCAGGGACCTACTGTGAACTTTTGAGGTATGTGTGGCGGTCAAACTGTAGGTCTTCCTCAAAGATCTGAGTTCCAGCTCCCTGAAGCCATTTCTCTAAACCTGTACATTTAATAATTCCAACTTCTTCCCTTTGTCCACCCAGTACTAGGGGTGGTAGATGTTTCCTCAATCACCGCCTCTGTCATACCTCAGATTCTTCTTTTTGTTTTATTCAGTTCTCGAATACCTGGCTAATGATATGTTACATTAAATTTCTTTCTGTTAAAATAGAAAAATTTGTTTCTGCCTTCTGAGTGGAATTTGACTGATATTTAAATGGAAATATGTTTGTGAACTTAATTTTGCTAATGACTTCAAAATCATTTCCTACTCAGAAACGAAAGTAGGAAAATGTTTCCAAAGAGCAAAATGGGATGATTCACTATTCATAGTGTTTAAAAAAAAAACAAAACCCACACCAACTAATAATGATATTGCATGTACAAAATTCTCTCGCCTAACATCTTCGATGCTATATATATATAAAATTTCATAGCCCCACAATGGCTCATCTAACTCATTTACATTTTTATTTGATCCTGTGTTTTTCTATAAAGTCTGCTTAAACCATTCCTAAATTTAAAAATCTGAACATTTGTTCTCCAGAATTTTGACACAACTGGGTCTCCTTTCTCCTTTGTATTTATGACTTCAAATTCTTTGAGCCAATAAATAATAATATTGTCATCATCTGAAGTGTCTCCTTGTAGCTTCCAGGCTAGAAAAATAACATGTAACAGTGAATGCATTTCTTTTTATGGCTTGTATCATCTCTCACAGAGTCTTAGGTTTTATCCAATCTCAGGATGTTTCAGATTTGGAGGGTTGTTGGTGGTGATTGCTAGTTGGTAAAAGATTTTTAAATTAACTCCAGGTGGGATTTTGGCATATCTGTGTGGTAGAATATTGCTAGAATTATTGTTTGTTTAGTGGTCTCAACAGTATGATCTGTAAAATATGAGGATACACCTGGTTTCCTAGCTTTCAACTTTCCTTTTTCTCCCCCAAGATTCTCTTGCCTGGTTCTCATGGAAAGGAGATGATGCTGCCTATTGAAAGGCATGAAACTGGTAGAGATATAGCATTTCCCAAGATCTTTCTTTCAGACCTAGGCCTCCATGGTCAGGAGGCAATTGTGCTTACTTCTCTTTTCCTCTACCACTGACGGTTCTGGCAGTAATTCCTATGAGTGCACCCAGAATATTCAGGAAACATAATTACGACACTGGGGACCAGCTGCTTCATGGAGTTACCATTTTAAAATGAAAAGTGTGAAATGAGACGCACAGTTTCCTTAAAAAAAAAGTCTCAAATACTCAGAAATGCACCCCAGATTTGCACGTAAAGGAATAAAGAAAATGATTTTGTAAAGTGTACAAATGTTACTTTCCAAAAAAAGGTGAGGGGGATAGTTAGAGAGGAATCCAGATGGAGACAGATAATGAAGTAGTCTAGTAGAATCATTTTATGCACTTTTCACACACACTTATTTTTTCATTCAATTTGTTGGAAGTATGTCTGTGACTGAGAAACTTTGACTGCTTCAGCGGAGTAAAGAAGAGCAAAGGGTGTTAAGTTTGAAGGCAAATTGGACTTACTTAAACTATGGAAATGTGCACCTTCTCTGATACAGGAGAGAACACAGAGTGAGCAATCATAGGAAATGTTCGCCAGAGCTTATTATTTAGGAAAATGGAATTTGGTGGTTAAATACTTAGGCTTTAGAGTCAGACAGACAAAGGTCAGAATTTCCGTACAAATTCTCCAAAAATGGTCCTTATTCAACATTTTTTCCGAGGTTATATTTTGTTATGATGACTGTTAAGATATTGATAAAAAGATGTTAGAGGAAGCCCTCCCCTATGCCAACACTAGGCAATTCCTCTTACGCAAGAGCTTATTTTTATTGCACAGGCCAATTATAATAATATGTTCTTCACTAAAGAGAATGGTTTACTGAACTTTCTGCTCTGAGATCCAAAGAAAAAAATCCTCCTGTTATAACTCTGGTTTCCTTATCTGAAAAGTAGAGATTATTATAGGGCCTATATTATAAGATTTATGTGAGAATTAATGGTGATCATTTTTTTAATTCATGATGTATTATGTGTGCCATGCCTGGCACATAGTAAGACCTCAATAAACGTTAGCTGTCACTATTATTATTTGTAGGCAAGGAGACTTACCTAATCCTTTTCTGACACAGACCACACAGAACCCTGATGCTTGGGGACCCCAGATTAATAGTTGATTATTAGTGGGCACAAAATCTTTCCCAGTGTATTAATAATGTTTTTTAATCTATATTTCATGCTGTTTTGACATTTTGGGGAATCCTTGCTGGCCGGAGAGAGATTGCCCCTCCCAAGACTTGCTAATTCTCAGAGACAGTAAACTTGTTGTGAGCCTGCCTTTCATATATAAACCAACTAATCCCAAGTCCATACCCCAACCACCTCTTCTATCTAACTTTCACATACCAAACCAATATTTCCCCTGCCCTAAATCAACACAGGAACAGATACCAGACAATTAGGGACAGTCCCTATGCTTCAAAGCCCACTGAAATAATTCAAAGTAGCCAGTCCTAAGATGTTTGTCCTGCCCTGCCTTGCCTGACTTGCAGAAACCCCAATAAAGGCTGTGGCCTATGCCTTCCCTTCCTCCTTTCTGCCCTGACAGACACTGGTTTTTCCTTCTGTGCACTGTGTAGTAGTATGTCAAGCCTCTGGTTTCTAGGGGAACTGTGAGTAACATTAAATTTGTCTTTTGATGGCACTGGGCTTTCCATGTCGTTACTCAGTCACCTCTATAAATTAAAATCCCATAGGTACACTCTGAGACACCCACATCTTTCATCAAGAAGTGCCTTCAAGTCCCCTCAGACATTTACTCAGGCTTGGCCATGTGACTTGCAAAGTATGCCCATATGACTATCAGCAAAGTAAGACTTGAAAGGTATACACTGGCATATTTCCTGAGTTTAGGCTGCCCCAAGATCTACACACTAAATGGAAACTGATCTATCCTACTGGACAATGAGAGGCTTCACAGAGAAGAACTGAGGCGTCCCAGCTGATAGGCAGCACAATGACAGACAGGGGAGTAAGGTCATTTTAGATATCCAGCCTTTCAAGCCATATCTGACTTCATCTGCCCAAGTGAGCCCTGTGATCTACAAGTGAGATCAACAGAAGAACTGCCCAGCAAACCCACAGGATAGGGCATAACAATAAGTCATTGTGTTTTCGTTAACTAAGTTATGGGGTGGTTTGTTATACAGCAGTAAAGAAAGAAACACAAAAGAAACTTGTGATGGAAATTAAATGTGTTATTAAATGCCTTCTACATACATTCATACAAACACACATACACATATTTCTACATATGGACCAGTTAATATGTAATATGAGACAACTTATAAAAAGTTCTAAAAATGAAAAAATATATAGAAAGGCAAAACGATCTCTTTAATAATCAATATAACTTTGGTTAGTAAAAGTCAGAAAAGGAATTAATCCAAGTGGGTAACATAGAAAATTGAGCAAGAGCTTATGGAAATATAACAACATTCTCCCTCATAGGGTTCTTTTGATGTTTAAATGAGATAAAGTACAGAAAGCACATAGTTCAGTACCTGGCATGTGTTAATTTCTCAAGGACTGCAGCCATTACTGATCTCACACCACTTACCTGAGAAATAAATATGATGAAATTCCTATAAATCAACAATAAGGCAAAAAAAAAAAAAAAAAGAAAGAAAACAAAACACATGGACAAACAAACTGAAGAGATACTTCACAAAATCATCTGTCTTAGTCAGCTTGGGCTGCTATAAGAAAAAACCAAAGACTGGGTGGCTCAAACAACAGAAATTTATTTGCACACAGTTCTGGAGACTGGAAGTTCAAGATCACAGAGCCAGCAGTTTGGTATCTGGTGAGGGCTCTCCCCTTGGGTTGCAGTTAGCCATCTTCTCACTGTGTGCTCACATGACCTTTCCTCAGTACATGCCTGTGCGGAGAGAGAGAAGAGAGGGAGCGCTCTCTGGTGTCTCTTCTTACAAGGACACTAATCTTATCTGATCAGTTCTCCACCCTCATGACCTCCTTTAACCTTAATTACTTCCTTAGAGGCCTCATCTCCAACTACAGTCACATAAGGGATTAAGGCCTCAACATATGAATTTTGAGAGGACACAAACATTTAGTCCATAACAATATCTCAGTGGACAATGAGCTCATAAAATAATACTGAACATCATTTTTGTAGGTAAATGCAAATTAAAACCTCAGAGATATAGCATATCACATCTACTAGGATAGTGAAAACAAACAAAAAATGTCTGATAACACCAGATGTTGGCATTGAGGGGGTGCCACTGGCATCCTCATTCATTAATGGTGGTAGTGAAAACAGAAATATTGGAAAGATTTCTTATAAAGGTAAAGGTAAATATACTCCTAGGTTCTTGGTCAAAATAAATGAACATAAATGTCCGCTAAAAGGTATATGCTAGAATATTTATAGCACTCTTATTCATAAAAGTTAACAACTAGAAGTATGGAAACAACCCAGATACACATCAACAGAAGACTGTATAAACAAATTGCGGTACATTCAAAAAATGGAATGATACTCAGCAATAAAATAGCATGGGTTACTGTTACACACAACAACACAATAAATCTTAAAACACTATATTAAGCAAAAGAAGCCTGACACAAGAAAGCACATGCCATATTATTGTATTTATATGGCATCCTAAAACAGGCAAACAATTTCTGAAGAAATATTTTGTTTGGGTGGAGGCATGACTGAGTGATATGGGGCACAAGTGAATTTTCTGGGGTGATAAAAATGGATGTATTTTTTTATTTTATTTTATTTTTTTGTTTATTCAAGTAACATTGGTTTATAACATTGTATAAATTTCAGGTGTACATCATTATACTTCTATTTCTGCATAGATTACATCATGTTCAC